AAGTTAAAAAGAGATCCTAGCACAAGGAGGAAATTTTCGTCTCATGAGTATGATTGAAAATGAATGGAATGAGAATCATGATTGGGTCTGAAAAGGTACACTTATTCAAAAGGAACATGATTTTTAAAGGGTTAGAGTTATTGCATTATGTATCAAGAAGATATACTTTGAGGACATACAGGAACCAGAGGAAACATGTGTGGTGGAAAGTATTTGGGTAAAGATTAGTGGAGACAAAAATAATGGTGTCATTATACCCAAGCAGGAGAAATATAGACTGTCTAGATAATAGAAAGTAGATGAAGAGTTCAGAAACAGATCACCTACTTAGCATGGAGGCATCCAGCACTTAGCACAGTGCCATACACATAGTAAGGTACTTAATAAATAAAATTGGGCACTTCAGTTATTTGGACATCTGTTGGAGCTCTTTCTCTGGACAATTACTTGATTTTCTTGTATAATAATTTCATCCTTTAAATGGTGGAAAAACCAAAAAGGAAATTGCAGTCTTGGTTTGATTTTCACTGTTTATAAGGAACTGGTTGTTAGGGTGGAAATAATGGGAACCTGTGGTCAGCCAATTAAATTTTATCCATCACTGTACATATCTTGGATGAGCATTGCAGATGGACCCAGAAATGAACAGGGAGAGAAGAATGAACTGGATTGAACTTGGAAAATATCACACTGCTTTCATTGATTCCAAACTCCTTTCTACCAACAAAATACTTTTTTAACAGCCATATTTTCTAAGTGATCCTGTATGACTGTGACTAAGAGGGAACTAAAACAGAAAAATTAACATTTCATGTGGACCAAAATAAAATGAAAAGATATGTGGTAGGTGCAAATAGACTGAAGCATTTTCACCAATAATGGCCTTTTGTAAGAAGTGGCATAAAAGTACAGCACATCAGCCTTGATGTCAAGAGGATCTGAGTTCAAATCCAGCCTCAGACACTTACTAGCTGTGTAACCCTGGGCAAGTGACTTAACTATGATTGCCTCTTCTTCCCCACCGCCACTAAAAAAAAAAAAGGGACATGGCATAAAAGACAACCTAAAAGACACATCTGAGCAGAAAGGGAGGGTGGCCAGTCACATAGTGATAGATAGACAAGCTGAGTGTGGTTCTTATATCTACAAAAGATAGAAAGCCTCAGAGGGAGGTCTCTAGTATATTGAGTAGATCTTTTATGGAGGATTTATGGAAAGACATGGATTAGAATCATACAGAATGAAAATATTGAGGAGTCAATTTAGCTATTTGAAGTATTAGACTTAAATAGCATTTATCCTGCTATTGGCAGCTGTTTCCTTTTTGTCCGTGATCAAATTAGGCTGTACACATTTGTTATTGTCAGAATAAAGTGGGTAATAGCAGAATCATGATGAGGACTTATGAAAGAAAAATTCATAGCGATAGAATCATGGAATTGGAAAAGACCACTGAAGCCTTTGAGTCCACCCTCCTAGAGCAATAAGAATACCCTCTACAACATACCCAAGAAGTGGTCATCCTGCAACAGGGAACTCACTACCTCTTAAGGCAATCTCTTCCACATTTGGAGAGCTCTACCTTTTAAGAAGTTTTTCCTTACATTAAAAATAAATTTACCTTTGTTTTAGCTTCTACTCTGCTCCTAGCTGTATACTCTTCTCTTAAGGTGGAACACGTTCAACACTCTTCCACAGACTGCTCTTCAAGTACTCGGATTCAATTCAATTAGATTTGATTAAATTCAGTTTACTGTGCTAGGTGCTGAGATGAAAAGATGAAAACACAAGTAGTTCCTGCTCTCAAGGATCTTATATTCTATTTGATGGAAACAATACATAATAATTAATAGCTACTAATAATAGCTAACATTTATATAGCCCTTACCATGTACTAGGCACTGTGCTAAGCGTTTTATAAGTATTAGCTCATTTTATCGTCACACAACCCAGTGAGGCAGGTGCTGTTATTATTCCCATTATACAGATAAGGAAACTGAGACAAGTAATTTGCCTAAGGTCACACAGCTAGTAAGCCTCTGAGGTCAAATTTGAACTGACTTTCTCCTTGAGAGCCGGGGCTTTTTTTTTTTAATTCCTAAGGTTTACCAAAGTAGCCCATAATAGGTGCTTAATAAATGTTTATTGAAATTGAATTCAGTTGGCTTCGGGAGTAATACTCTATCCACTGATAATTTAATATAAAACATATATAAAGTAGTTTCTGGATAGTTGAAAAAGGGGGAGCCCATATCAATGGGGAGATCATGAAAGGACTTGGTAGGAGTTAGTTCGTGAGCTGAGTCTTAAGGAGATCCAGGGATTCCAAGAGACTGAGGTGTGGAGGTAGGACATTCCAGGCATGTGGGTAAGACTGCAAAGTCATAGGGCTAAAAGATGGATTGTTGTGCATAAGAAACAGCAGTTAAATAACTTTAGCTAAAACTAGAGTTCAATAAGGGGGAAATAATATGGAAAAGTGTAAAAATATAGGTGGGCACCAGATTGTCAAGGACTTTAAATGCCAAATTAGTTTTTATTTGTTCCTAGAGTCAAGAGGAAGTCACTGGAACTTCTTGAGCTGGGGAGTGATATGGTCAGATTTACAAATAACAATTTAGCAAGCTCTATGGAAGCTGTAATGAAGAGGGAAGAAAATAAAAGCAGGAAAATCAATTAAGTGACTATAGAAATAGTTCAGATAAGCAACGAGAAGTGAGGAGGGCTTCAGCTAGGAAGATGACTTTGTGAGTGGAGAGTAGGAGATGTGTGTGAGAAATGTTGTAGATTTTTGTGACATTTTGTCTTTGTATTACCAAATCCTATCACAGTGCCTTGCATGTGGTAAGCAATTAATAAATGCTTGTTGGACTGGAGATAGAATTAATAAGGGTTTGCTAGTGATCGGCAGTAATAAAAGAAAGGAAAGAGCTGAGGATTGTGAACCTGAGAGACTAGAAAGATGATGATTCCCTCAAAAGAAATAGGGATATTAGAAGGAGGGGTGGATTTTGGAGGAAAAATAGTTGTCATGTCACTGCAACTGATTCTTCTATGACACTCTCTCAAAACTCTTCATTATCTTGGTTGTCTTCCCTTAATGCTCTCTAGCTTTTTATTTTCCTACTAAAAACCTGGCTTTGGAAACTGAATACAATATTCAGATATGATCTGATGGAGAGAGTACTACAGGGCCATCAGCTCCCTGATTCTGGATACTGTGCCTGTCTTGATGCAGTTTATGATTACTCTATGGACCTGCCATCCATATATCAGCTTTAACTTCAAAAACCATTATTCAAAGTATGAATTACCTATAGTCCAGATCACTCAGAGACACAAAATTTCAGAGTTGGAAGGAATCTTTCTTTCAGACAAATCAGAATGTATATCTTGAGACCTCCAACTTATATCTACTCCTAGATTAAGGAAAAAACCTCTCTTGTTGAACATTTCTTAAGGAAATGCTTAATGTCATTCTGTATACATTACGAAACTTCCACCCATATTCCCAGTACTTTTGTAGGCAGCTAAATGGCACAGTGGTTAGAATGTTGGGTCAGAAAGACCTGAGTTCAAATCTAGCCTCAGAGGCTTGCTAGATGTGTGACCCTGGACAAGTCATTTGCCTAGAAAATGAGAATAATAATACATTACTTCCCTGAGTGGTGAGGAACAAATGAGATAATATTTACAAAGTGTTTAGCACACTACCTGGCTTGTGGTAGGCACTTTAAATGCTTGTTTCCTCCCTTCCTTAATAATTATGTAATAAAATTTTACACTTGTAGACCATCCTACAAGTCTATCATCCCAACATGAGTAGAAGTATAACATAAAATGTTTTGGATTTCTCAATGTCCTTTGGACACATCTGGAGTTTCTAAGTTAGCTGTTACTTTTACCTATGGGGGGGTTTTTTGGAGGCTTTCAATATATTTTGAGCTTGCTTATGAAAGTATATTTGTGAAATTAGGGTGAAATAGAATTCCATTTTTGAGTGTAGGTGCTTAGATTAATTTCAAGTATTCCCTAAACTGTTCTTGCAAAGATTCCTGGGAAGAATTAAAGTTTCCATTATACTGTCCTGAGTGTGTGATCAAAGGCAGGTTAGACATTGGATCTTTGACTCAAACTGTTTTGTAAATGCAAAAAAAAGATCTGAGCACAATGACATTTGTTATATTTTTATAAAGAAAAAAATGGACGTAAAGCCACAATATTTGGCTACATTGTTTAACTTGGGACTTTGGTAGTAATAAAACTAGTATTTCAGAGTTCGACCACAAAGGTGTGTGGCTAAAAAAAAACAAAGTAAACTGATTTTTTTCTCTTTAGTCCAATTTGTTTTCTGCAAATGAATAGTGTCTGCTGGGAGGATAGACGAGGTCTCATAAAATATTTTCTTCATACCCTTTAATGGCAGGACTCAAAAACTTTCACTATGTTTAAGGTCCTAAGACAACCTATGTTTTTTATGGCAATTTCTTATTTAATTTAGTTTTATTTTTAGAAATACAACTAAGGCTTCTATGTTCATAGGACATTTTCTTGCATATTGCAGACACTAAAAGTTAATTGAGTGAATGGATGATGAGTCATGCCATGTAAATCATCATGAAGTAAAGAAAGAGAATCCAAGTGAGCCAGCCCCAAGTTTAAAGACTTTAAAATACTCCTTTGTTTAGCTTTGATTTCTTTGTTTCCCCATACAGCTGCTATTTATTTTTCATGGTAATTTAGGCAGGATAATTTATTTCTCAACCTAAAATTTGTTATAGAGTTGGTGGTTTTTATGTACTTCGATTTCCAGAGGAAAAGGTTAGCTTATTCATTTTAAAAATTTGAGAGCTATTTCTGCTGTCTTCCTTCCTATAGTTGTACTTTATTGTGCTTCATTTCCAATAAAATTCCCCTAGAGGATCTGTTATAAACAACAAGGCTATTAACTGGTGTGTGTGTTCTGTTCAGTGAAAACTGCTTTTATTTTCTGTTGCTAGGCTACTCCATTCCAGTTACCATTGAAGAAATGTTCAGTGGTGGGAAATGGTGGGATTCTGAAGAAGAGTGTCTGTGGCCGACAAATAGATGAAGCAAATTTTGTCATGCGGTAAGAGAAAAGACCCTCACCAGGGCCTCTGCCTTTTTTTCTCCCACAGATAAACCCACAGACCCCTCAGAGCTATTCATTTGTGATTAATAAGTTGAAACATGTTCTTTCTTTCTTTTTTTTAAGGTTACATGCAAGTGAACTTAGGAAAGAAGGAAAAGTAATAAGGGAATATATCTTCCTTAACCTTATAAACTCTTGACACATCTCAGAATGGTAAAACATATTAGATTAATGTATCCTTTTGTGGTCATGAACCAAAAAGGAGATGAAGGGTATAGTATTTTAGTTTTAGATTATAAAATTGAACTTGCAGAAGAAGTTTCTATTGTTTTCTTTGAGGGCCTATCTTCCCCCCACCCCAACAGTGTTTCTCTATCTTTATTTTTTTTTTTACATTCTAATTTACTATTTATTTTCAACAGTCTTTTCTTTTTAAATTTTGAGTTCCAAATTCTCTCCCTCTCTTCCACCACTCTCCCATCTACTGGGAGGGCAAACAGTATATCAATTTTACATATTTTCTCATTAGCCATGTTTTTTTAAAAGCAAGAAAAGTAAAACGAGAAAAATATACTTCATTTTGCAGTCAGAGTTCTTCAGTTCTCTCTCTGGAGGTGGAGAGCATTTTTTTTCATCATGAGTCCCTTAGAATTGTCTTTGGTCATTGTATTGATGAGAGTAGCTAAGTCTTTCATAGTTGATCATCATTACAATATTGCTGTTACTGTGTACAACGATCTCTCTGTTTTCTCACTTCATTTTTGCATCACTATATATAGTGTATATATGCCATGTTTTTAGCAACCACCCCCTCCTAAATTCTTAAAGCACAATAGTATTCCATCACAATCATATGCCACAACTTGCTCAGCCATTCCCCAATTGATGAGCATCCCTTCAGTTTCCAGTTCTTTGCCATCACAAAAAGAACAATTATAAATATTTTTGTACATATAGGTCATTTTCCTGTTCCTTTGATCTTTTGGGATACAGGCCTAGTAGTGGTATTAGTGGGTCAAAGTGTATACACAATTTTATAGCCCTTTGGAAATAGGTCCAGATTGTTCTCCAGAATATTTGGACCAGTTCAGTTGGATTGCTGGACCACCAGCAATTCATTAGTGTACCTATTTTCCCCTCAACTCCTCCAGCATTTGTCATTTCTGATAGATGTGAGGTGGTACCTCAGAGTTGTTTTAATTTGCCTTTCTCTAATCAATAGTGAGAGTATTTTTTCACATAATTATAAATAGCTTTGATTTCTTCTGAAAACTGTTTATACCTCTTGACCATTTATCAATTGGAGAATGGCTCTTTTTGTAAATTCGACTTAGTTCTATACTCAGTATATAGTTGAGAAATGAGGTCTTAATCAGAGAAACTTACTGCAAAAATTTTTGGTCTTACTTCATTGTCGGTGATACCTTTTAGCATAATGCAGTTTCCCTGATTATCTTTTTAAAATTAGATCTGTTTTTGCTTTTGCTTTGTCTGAGATCATGATTGCTACCCCTGCCTTTTTCACTTCTGCTAAAGCATATTAGATTCTGCTCTAGCCCTTTATTTTAATTCTATGTGTGTCTTTCAAGTGTGTCTCTTGTAAACAATGTATTGTTGGATTCTGGTTTTTTTCGTTTGTTTGTTTTGGTGAGGCAACCAGGGGTTAAGTGACTTGCCCAGAGTCACACACAGCTAGTAAGTATCAAGTGTCTGAGCCTGGATTTGAACGCAGTCCTCTTGACTCCAGAGCCAGTGCTGAATCCACTGTGCCACTTAGCTGCTGCTTGGATTCTGGTTCTGATCCATTCTGCTATCTGCTTCTGTTTTATGTGACAGTTCATTTCATTCATATTCACAGTTATGATTACTAACTATATTTCCCTCCATCCCATTTTCTTATTTCTTTCTCTCCTTCCATCCTGTCCTTCCCCTAAATTCTATTTTGCTTCTAACCCCCTTAATCTGTCTTCCCTTTTACCATCCCCACCATCTTTCTTTTATTTATCCTCTTCTATTTCACTATTGGGTAAGTTACATTTCTGTACACAACTGAGGGCTTGTCTTAACTATGCAAGAATAAAATGTTTATTCATTTAGCTTTTTATATTTCCTCTGCACTTTAAGTGTCTACAAATGTAATTTGCATAGCATGAGGGATTTAAATTTAGCATGACTGAGGTCTTTATTTCATTATTTATCACATGCTTGCATCAGTTTAATTTTGGGGACAATCTACAGGGAGATGATACACGCATAAACTGTCAAATGTCCCCATGATATTTTCCATTTCTTATGTAATTCAGATATAAATTCCCTTTTTGATTAATCTAAATTATATAACCTTGTATTTCTCTATATGTATACATATTATATGCACTTGCAGTATATATGTACTTATCTCTCCTACCTCTTCCAATAGAATGTAAGCTCCGTCAGGGCAAGACTATTTCTTTTTGCTTTTCTATTTCCCATTACGATATTATTATTATATGTAGTATATTATACCTCTATTATATCCCCAGTTAAAGTTGCAGATAAAATGTCATCCTACATTGGTAAAGGGAGTTTCTTCACTCAAGAATCACATTTACCAAAGAAATGATAAGTCTAGGTTCTCTCTCAATCCTAAATTAAATAGTAATGTCATATATTGTAATGGCATTAACACTATTCATTAAACTTAATATGAGGTAATGAGAAGAAGGAGCTCCAGAACAAAACTGATTTCTCCTTGACAATATAACAAGGCATGCAAACACTAGCACAGGATGAACATCAAATATTAGAGACAAATTTGTCCTTTGGAAAACAAATGTTACCGTAAAGGATCCTGGGCTTTGTTCTTAAACACTCCTTCATCAGTAGGAAAGGAAAATACATCCCATAGTAATACATATCACCAATTGTCTTCCCATTTCTGAGATGTGAATTCTGAATTTACAAGAGCATACTTCTACATTAAGGGAAACCAACTGCTATATAAGGGCTCCCACTAGATAGTAAGCACTTCAGACACTTCAACACTTTCTTTACACTTCCTACAATGCTCACGATTGTATTCTGCCCACAACATACTCATGTTCACTAACCCAAGGGAACTTTCAAACTTAGAGCAGAGAGAGCAATATAGAGTCTTTTTGTCAAAGAAGAGATGAAATTAAAAGCCAAAAACAGACACCAAAGGAGGAGAGAAGTTTCCATCCTTGTGGGAAGCAGCTAAATACACAAAAGGACCGAGATGAGAAGGAAAGGAAACATGTGAAAGAACCCAGAAATTTGAGCTAGTCAACTGAGTGGATTTATAATTTCCTCACTTTTGGTTCCCAGGGAAAGCAAGAAAAGAGAAACAGAGAAATCTTGATCATGGTAAAACATGCACTTATGTTACAAATAAATTAATCATTTGTATTATTATATAATAGATGCAGGAGATATAGGTGAAAAGGATTGCATTTTGTAATCCATAATCAAGAGAAACCTTGGGGCATATTATAGACTTCTCTGTGTTTTCCTGATCCTTTAGGAATTTTCAATGGTTATGTTTTCCTGCTGGTTGTGAACTCTCATAAGAGTTAGTATACAAGGAGAAAAACCTGTTTTGCTTTCCAAGACAGCCCCCTTTGCCTGGGTTGAGTGTGCAGCCATGGGGGATTTTGTTCCTTGATCCTTACATAGTTAGGGTCCTTATTTCCTCATGACTGTGCCCACTTCTCTTTGCCCTGGAACTGTGATCTTGGACTGAAGAATGAGTGATAGAGTTGCCAGATAATACCTGTTCCTGCTCCCAATGGTAATACAGGATTCCCTAGGATCTCTTTCTGCCTATGTATTCAGTCTCCTTACAATCCCTGAGCTCCAGGCTGTTCTATCCACTGCTCCTGCCCCATAGCCTGCTGTTACTACACTGTGTTCCTGGCCAGCTCCCCACCCAGTGTCGGCAGACAGCTCTGTCTGTATTCCTAAGCTGCTCTATACTGGGAAAATGACTCACTGTGACTTTTTTCTTGGCTTTTCCCATCAGAATTTAATCTGGAGTGCTTTCTAGGTTGCTGTGGAGGAACTAGGAAAAAATGGTACCTCTCACTCTACCATCTTAACTCTTCCTCCAGGCTTATTAAATAGCAATTCAACATTTAAAAAAAACCAAACACCAATTGATTTAGATGGCTGAATTTATCCAGAAATAATAGCAATAATACAATCTAGAATTTGCAAAAAAAAAACACCAAACAACTTAAGAAAAGTAGTAAGAATAATTATTTGTGAGTGGAACCAGACTTAGCAAGATTCTTATTTGACACAGTGGAAAGTGTACTGAATTTGAGGTCAGAAGATCTAAACTTAAGTCCTGACTCTGGCAATGATTGTGTAGTCTGGGGCATTGACTTCTTTAAGCCTTGGCTTCATTGTCTGTAAAACAAGGATAATAATTCTTATGCTGCTTCCTTCACAGATTATTAGGATCAAGTGAGATATTTCTAATATTCAATATAAATATCAGCTATTATAATTATTATTTGGTCAGTATAATTGACCTGCCTTGAAAAAGGAAGTTTTTTATGGACCTATGATTTAATTGGTATATGGAACTACTTCTACCAATGTATATTGGTATTTGCTCTGCAACTTATAGTTTTAGAGAATATCTGGGTCATTGAGAAGTTAAGTGATTTTCCCAGAGTCACTTAGCTAGTATGAGTTAGAGGCCTGACTTGAACCCAGGTCTTCCTAACTCTAAAGCCAGCTCTCTATTCACTAATAATGATAACTATTGTTATTATTTTTATTGTTATTATTGTTGTTGTTGTTTTCTATGTGCCAGCTAGAGGTTAAATGACTCTCCCAGGGTCACACAGCTAATAAGTTTGAGACTGGATTTGAACTCAAGTATTCCTGGCTTTAGGCCCAGCTCTTTATCCACCTAGCTTCCTCTGTAATAACTATGCTATGCTGCTTTTGAATGATGCTTTCAGAATTTTAAAATGTGGAAATTACCCAAAATTTATATTCTTGTTTTTCTAGATGCAATCTTCCTCCTCTGTCCAGTGAATATAATAAAGATGTCGGATTCAAAACCCATTTGGTGACAGCTAACCCCAGCATAATTAGGAAAAGGTAAGATAAAAATTCTTCCCCTTCAAAGTAACTGGAAAAGACTATGTTTATAGGTAAATGGAAGATAAAAAACATAATTCACATGTTGGGAAATTAAATAAAAAATAGGATTTGACAGGCCAAGAGAATCTGAGAAAAGCACATCAATTAGACCAGTGCCTGAAAGAGTTAGCAGTATTTTATGCTGCCTCAAAGAGAGTAAGAATGACAGAGAGATCTGGTTTCTTGCTTGAGTAGACAGCATCACGTTTTGCTTATTCACTACTCCTGCTTTGTAGCACGCTGATTGTTGATTGAGAACAATTTACAAAAAGTAAACTGGTAATTAACAAAAAATTAAGAACCCAAAAGTACCCAGGCAAAATGGACCTATTGAAGGTCATCCATTCAATATTTTTGGAAGATATCAAAATTAGCATAGGCCAAACCTCATCCTAATGTATCTTCCAAAGATATTTGACCAATGTTGTTCTAGGCAGTAGGTCTCAGAGAGATAAAACTTTTCAGAAAGGCGAAAGGTATCTCTCCAAAAATTGTATATTTAGAAAACTCCTTTGAGAATTGCATATAGAATGTTAGTAGTTATTTTCCTAAGTATCCAGTGATTAGAGCTTAGGAATTTCTTACCAGAGGAAATTTTCTCCCAATGGACAATTTCCCCCCCTTTAACAAATGTCTATTCTGGCAGGAAATACATCCAAATTAGTGTTCCATATGCTGATGGGGATTTCTACTTTTGATGAGCCATCAAATTTCTGCAGCTGCCACCATAATTGTAAATATATCTTGCATTTGCATATTGACTTTGAAACAAAGTAACATAAAAACATTAATAACCATCACGTAATAGTTAGTACAAAAGTGATAATGGCCTCTTGTATTTTGTTTCTGTCAGTTCAAGATAGAGGAAACATTTTCTTTATAATCTAGCATTATGTAAATACATCAGGGTACAAACATTATATTGTCCTTTGTAATAGTTTCCATAAGAAAGACTATCTGTAGATTCCTGGGTTGTTTCCATTCTATACTTCCATTTATATAGGTTGGTTAAAGAGGAAAATTGTAAACTTATTATCTTCATTTTGTGTCTGTGTAAACTGAGATAAGAGAGGAAAAACCTAAAATTCAAACAACTTACCTCAGCATTCGTGGCCCTTCATGATCTGGTCCCATTTACCTTTCCAGTCTTACCTAGAAGCCTAGGTTAAAATGGTTTAGGATCATAGATTTAGAGCAGGAAGGGACCTTAGAAGTCATCAAATCCCATCATTTCATCATTGAGCACGCTGAGGCCCAGAGAGGTTAAGTAATTTGACCAAGGTTACATATCTAGTAAGTGTATGAGGTAGGATTTGAATTCAAGTCTTCCTGATTCCAAGTCCAATGCTCTATTCACAGCAGGTTGTTAGAGTTGGAAGTTACCTTAGCTCCATAATTTTACTGATGAGGAAACTAAAACCCTTAGAGGTTAAATGATTTCCTCAAGGTCACATCTTACCTAGTTAGTGAAAGAGTTGGATTAAAACCCAGGCCTTACCTCTCCTAGGCCACTGTTCTTTCCATTTTACTCTGTTGTGTTTATATCCCATTGCATACTAAACTGGGTTTTGAGTTTAAACAGTTCAGGTTCAATTTTGGAGGCAGGCTCCACAAATCATTCTTTCTTTGTCGCAACACACCCCCTTCTAGAATTCCGAACATTGGGAAACATCTGAGTATAATTTGTGTGTAGACAGATTGGGACAAAGGATTCCCCAATATTACAAGACTAAAGGTAATAATGTGGGGTATAGGACAGCCTATGTATTTCATCTCACAGGAGATGCAGAAAACATGTAAAGGATTCACAGTAGCACTTAAGTAAATGATAAAATTTTTCCTCCCCTCTGGTGAGTCCCATCTTCTTCTAAAATCTATACAGTTCTCCTGACACATCAGAAAAGCTTGTATTCCCCTTGAAAGGAAATAACCTTGAGAGTGCTAAAAAAAAGGAAACCGCCTTGACATTCCAGTGAGTCCCACTCTTACCCCAGAGATCTATATGGGCATCTTGCCTTATGATTCTATCCTAAGGGCTTGGACTCCCTCTGGAATGAAGAGGACCTTGTGGTTGCTTGAAAGACAATCTCCTTTCTATTAGGTCTGCCTGTCAAAATCAATCATGGTAATAGCATAGGGCAAAAGTCCTTTGTTCTATCATATTGTCATTTTAATCCCTCTCAACTTGATGCTTTCATTTCTCTGTATGGGAAGTTTCAGTTCAGCTACTCCCATGCTTGGCCAACTAGTTCTCCTCTCCATGGCTGCCATCTCTTGGGCAGGATGACATTGCTTCTCCAAAACTTGGGGCAGAAAACTGGGGTCCAGACCTTATAGATGAGTGTAATGTAATTTTCATGTGCTTCTACCACAAGGCAGTCATTGGAGGCTCCCAGGAGGGGATGAAGTATATGGGAAATTCTGTCTTCACCATCTCAACCAGGTCTCATGTATATTCTTAGTTCTGTTACTCTCTGGTCTGTTCTTTGAAAAGGGAAAAAGGCAAAATGGCCCAAATGGGTCCAAGTCTGCTATGATTCAGCTTTTTAATAAGCTCAATACAAAAAAAGTTCACTTAGGTTCACAATAGGCTGAGTATTAGGGGCACTTAGGTGATCCAGTGGATAGAGTGCCGGGCCTGGAGTTAGGAAGACTTGGGTTCATATCCAGCCACAGACACTTAGTAGCTGTGTGACCCCGGGCAAGTCAGTTAACCCTATTTGCCTCAATTTCCTCATCTGTAAAATTAGCTGGAGAAGAAAATGGCAAATTATTCCAGTATCTTTGCCAAGAAAACCCCAAATAGGATCATGAAGATTCAGACATGACTGAAATGACTAAACAAGCCTGAATATTGACTCAATTTGTCCTCTGTCAGTCCACAACAGCTTAAATAATTCAGTCCATCCCCAATCCATACCACTTAAAATGATATCTTTAATTAGACATCAAAGGGAATGTCCCTCCTTCAGTGGGCATATTAGTAGGTTTGTCCATACCTTCTAGAGATACAGGATCTGAAAAAAAATGCTTACTGTCCTCATCAATTTGATCAGAACCCCTAAATTTCCATTTTCCATTCACATACTCCATAGTCCAGCCAAATTAGGCTCCTTAGTATTCTCTATCTCTTCATCTTTTTCAGTTGGCATTATTTGGAATGCCTTTTCCAGTCAGCCTACTCAGTTAGTCAGTCCATCAATAAACATGTATTAAATGCTTTCTACCACACATTGTGCTAAGCTTTGAGATTAAAAAAAAAAAGCAAAGATTATTCTCTACCCTCAAAGAGTTTACAATCTAGTGGGGAAGACCACAAGCAAACAAAATGTACGGGATGAACAGGAAATAATTAAAAGAAGGAAGGTGCTAGAATTAAGATCGGTTGGGAAAGGCTTCCTGTGAAAGATGGGATTTTAGTTGGGACTTGAAGGAAGTCAGTAGGTGGAGATAAAAAGGGAGAACAGAAGGAAGAGAAGATACTTGAAGCTGAGAGATGTATTGTCTTGTTACAAAACAGTGAGGAGTCCAGCCACTTAAGAGCACTTGTTGGGGAGTGAAGTGTAAGAAGACTGGGCAGGTAGGGATAGGATGAAGCTAAGTTATGAAGTTAAGGACCTTCAATGCCAAATAAACCATTTTGTTTTTGATCGTGTAGGTGATAGGGAGCCACTGGAGTTTATTGAGTAGAGAAGTGACATCATCCAAACTGTCATTTAGGAAAATCACTTTGGTGGCTGACATGGAGCATGAATTGGAGTGAGGAGAGACTTGAGGCAGGCAAACCAACCAGCAGGCTATTGCAGTAGTCCAATCATGAGGTGATGAGAGCCTGCTCCAGGGTGATGTCAGTGTCAGAGGAGAGAAGGGAGTGGATTTAAGAGGTGTCGCAAAGATGAATCAATAGATCTTGGCAACAGATTGGATATGGCAGGTGAGAGACATTGAGTCGAGAATGACACATAGGTTGCAAGCTTGAGGGACCGAACAGAGGGTGTTGCTCCCTACAATGATAAGAAAGGTAAAAGTGGGAATAATTTCCGAGGAGAAGGTAAAGAGTTTTGGACATATTGAGTTTAGGTGGTCTGCTGGACGCCTAGTTCATGATGTCTGAAAGACAGCTGAAGATACTGGATTAGAGGTCAGCAGAGACAAGAGGGAAGGATATGTAGATTTGATAACTATCAACATAGAGATGGTACTTAAAATCAGGAGAGCTGATGAGATCACCAAGTGAAGTAGCATAGAGAGAGGAGGACCCAGGAAAAATCCTGAGGGACACCTACAGTTAGAAGGTATGACCTGGATTAGGATCCAACAAGGGATCATGAATGTGATAGGAGGAGAACCAGGAGAGAATGGTGTTTTGAAAACTTAGAGAGAATATGATATCAAAAAGGTGGGCAACAGCAGTGTCAAAGACTTCAGAGAGGCCAAGAAGCATGATTGAGAAAAGACCATTGTGTTTGACAAGTATGAGATCATTGGTAACTTTGCAACGAATAGTTTTGGTGGAATGACAAGGTCAGGAACTAGATGGTAATGGGTTAAAAAGTGAGCCTATTGAAATTCTATCCATTCTTTAAGGCTCTGGTTAAATGTTGCTACCTCCATATTACATCTTCTCAACCTCTAGTCAAGAGTGATTTCCTTCTTTGAATCTCTTACAAGCTTTATTGTATTTATTATACTTATTAAATTTGATGTTATAGGTACTTGTGTGCCTAGCTTACCTTCTCTACAAAAGCACAGACTCCTTGAGGGCAGAGACTATGTCTTTATCTTCACATCTTCAACAGTACATGGGAGTTGCCATCACAATTAAATTACCAAAAAATGAATAGGTATTTGTTGAAAGAATAAAGGAATGCTTGGATTTAGATCTTGATGTCTCTGGGTTTCTATTTTTTTTAATGAGTGAATTATCTATCTTCTCTTTTATAAAGAAATTGGGCTCA